AAGGGTGATGCAGACAGCAGCAGCAGTATCAGCAGTTCTGTGTGGGTGCGTGTACCACTACTGATTGTGGTTACACTGGCCTGTATTCTTGTGTGCTGATTGTAATGGTTGTGGTGGTGTGACTCAGGTCATCCTTTGTTTTCTTTTTCTTTTTGCATGCAATCCCTACAGTCTAACTAATCTTCCACCTGTTTAGATTATTCTTCTTTGTTTTGTTTCTTAATGTTAATATGTTTTGTGTGTTTTTGCTCTCTATGTGTTTATCCTATAATTATTGCTGCTACTCCATTGTGTGTGTGTGTGTTCTTGGAGACTCTCTCTGTGTGTGCCTGGGCTTGCACTGTGATGATGATGATGAACTGTTTTTTGCAGTGAGAAAAAGAAAAAAAAATAACAGATGAATTTATATTTATAATTGCGTATATACATATAGACTTACACCCATAGTTGGTGTATGTCTGTGTTTACTGGGTAAATTGGGCTAATGGTTAATATCTGTTTCTTTGTTTGTTTGCTTTAGTGTGCGTGGGTCATTCTGTGCTTTTGCCCTGCACGGTTTTTGGTAATCAGTTTTATAAGAGCAGAGGAAAAAATAGTAGTTAATACAATTTGTATTCGTAATTACTTGACCAAATCACCATACCCAGTGGCCTGTGAGTTAATTTTGTGTGATTCGTTGTGCTCTTATTTTGTGTTTTTTTCGTTTTCTTTGCTTGGGCCCTCTGTGCTTTTTCCTGTATTGTTGTGTGTTGGATAGTTTTGTGGGGAGAAAATATAATAATAAGGAATACATAAGTATATTTGTAATTGTGCTTGGTTCGACCAGAAGAGACACTGTTATGTATTTCTGTGCTTATTGCTCTTGTTGGTCGTTTTCATAAATTTTATTTTTCTTTTTTTTGGAGGGTTAATTGGGATTATCTGTTTGTTACTGGGTATTGTATGCGTTGTTCCTTTTATTTGGGCATTATATGAGTTATGGTTGCACGTTTTTTTGTGTGTGTGCTTCTGCTTTAATTGTTGAGTGTTGTTTGATTTGTTTTGTGGTTTTTTGATTTTCTTGTTTACATTGATTCTATTTGCTTCTGGTTTTTCTATCTGTTTTGTTTTTTTCTTGTCTCTAAGCGATTGAAGTAAGACTACTACAAGAAGTATTGTAATGGTAATGATGCGCCACGTGCTGTGTATCCTCGCTCTCCTGCTCTCATGTGCGTGTGTGCACGTCCTCGCTGAAGAAGTGCCTGCCGCCGATCTTTCCGACCAAGTCCCTGATACGGAGAGTGAA